GTGAGAAAAAAATGGACTGGATTATCAATAGCTTAGTTGTGTAACTTGAAACAGAAATGTAGAGAGACACCAAAAGAAAGCCAACACCACCAATCACACAAAAGTGAGCATAACCTCTGAAAGGAAGCACAATCAATGGGGTAATACCCATACCCTGGAAGCTACCACCTAAGAGAACATCAGCACAAAATGAGAGAGAATAGGAAGTCGTGTGATTTCCTTCACATACTGAACCTGTTAAAAAAAGTTCAGCTCACTTTTTCCTCTGTGGCTTTGAACTTTTGCCTCTGCACTACCTGATTTGGGTTGAGACCTGAAGCAGCAGTGATGCAATAAATTATAAACTTAAAAGCTTTGTTCCACCTCTGGACATCAAGAAACATGGTGACTGATTTCATGATATCATGTGGCCGCTGGATGGTATAGGACTGCCCAGCTGGACTCAGTTATTTCTTCCTATGCAACGCAAAGTGACAACCCCTTGTTACTGCTACAACAGATATCCATGTGCCCACCCATTAACATGAATGTTGACTAAGTTCATCAAAGCAAGCTGAACTGCACAGCAACATTGAACAAGTACCAACAAAAGCAAGCTATTTTCATAGGTGTGTGTTTCATAGAGATCTGGAAGATAAAATTTCTCATTTTCCAGCAGCACTAGCATTACTTCCTTTGTTCGCCCTCTCAGCAGCATTTAATGCCTCCTTTAACTTTCTGGTGCTGTTTTTTTCACCTTTTGTCTCTGCTCATATTATGACTCCTGTCAGTCTGCTACCAAAAATGGCAGAAGCACATTTGTAAACACGTGCTGGGAAACTGTTGTATCTCATCAAATGGGCATAGAGATCAATGGGTCACTCTTTTTCCAGTCCTAGTACTTCCTTGCTTTCTTTTTTCATAACAAGTGGGGGAATAATGTTCAGGCGGATCATAATTTAACAAAATCATTCAGCAGATGTATGCCAGGAAAGCTCTCAGCTGCTGAAAGGCTTAACCCCAAAGCATTCTGAAACAAGATAAAAGCTTAAGCGTTTCCTCATCTCATGTTCACACCTAAAGATATGTGTGTACTGACCTTTCATATTGTTAGAACCAAAGCATGTTGTGAAAATCCCTCTGCAATTTAGCGCTACACAGAGTTTAGTCTGACTCATCTTTGAAAGCACATTTAGTTTGCTTCTTTGGGGTTCTGAGTGGGATTATGTTTTATTTTTATATAAATAAATATACTCTATTTGTATTTATAAATACATGTTTATGGCGGTATAAAAGTAAAAAATGATTAATGAAAATTGCAGTCTACCTGAATAAAAAAAAGAGTTGTTTTCTCTGAAGTCATGTTTCCAGACAATACAGCCCCTATCCAGCACCTATCCTACCTCTTCATCAGCACTATAAGACTGGTGCAAGAGGAAAAGTGGTGAACCACTGCCTGACATCTGACTCCCCAGGTACCTCTCCACTATTTAACTACTTCATTCATCCCCCTTCTCCCCCCACCCAGCCTGTCTCACACCCACTGACTCCTCAATTTACATCTTTACTGACTGCCTGTCTTGCATGCAGACCAGCCCAGTCGCTGTCTTCTTTACTTTTCATTCCATCTAGGAAGAGCACATGCCAACTGCAGAAACTTCCTCAGCCTGATGAAGGGTTTTTAAACCCAAAAGCTTGCTTAAATTTCTTTTCCAGCTATTTAAGTTGGTATAATAAAAGATATCAGATTCACCCAAAGAACCTTGTCTGCCTATGTCCTTAGACCAACACAGCTACAACCTACACCCCTTTGAACCACCCCACGCATTTTTCCCCACATGTTCTTTTTTGGGGTATCAGATCTAGAAGAAATCTGTAACTGGAATGGTCTTTTATGGCTTGAGATAAGAATTATTGGTGCAGAGACCTATAGTTGCTAGCCTCACTTCTGAGTACAGACTTATAGGGAGAGTACACACAACTTTCTGAAAGTCTCTGATGTACCTGTTTGCTCCTGTAAGAGGGAACACTAGCCCTGTTACCAGAAGACAGGTTGTCCCCTTTAAGACCAGAACTTTCTGGGCACAGCGTGCTGGTAAGGTGGGGGTTAAAAGCTGAGCCCGGCCAGCTAGTCAGGTGACCAGAAGGGGGCAGGCCAGGACTATAAAAACCCTGGGCTGGGTGGCCAAAGGAGTGTGTCCCAGAGTTCCACACAGAAGCTTGGTGAGTGGTCCAAAGGTTGGAGGAGGGGAACTATGGAGGACCCCGGAGAAGTGGCAGCAACCCCAGAAAAAGGACTGTAGCCGACAGTGAAGAGCAGAAGCACGAACCCCTGCATAAATGGAAGCTGGTGCGCTGCCTTCTTTTATCACATTTCTCTTGGTGGCAGTTATTGCCCATGGACAGGTCTGTTCATAAATTTTTGTTATTGAATAACACTGGTGGTTTGGATGAGGCTATTAGGGAAGGAGGAGGCCTCATTGGAGCCCCACTATAGTGTGGGAACTCCAGCACCTGCATAGGCGCAGTGTTCAGGGTGCACAGAGAGGGTGCAGTACTTGGGGGCACAGGCCCAGCACCCGAGAGGGTAAGCCAAAAAGGCCAGGGTGGCCTGGTGCACCTGGGGTGCAATGGTGTAGTTTGGGGTTTTCTGCACTGGAACGGTGGAGGTCCGGGGCCACTGCCCAGCTCCAAGCTTGCAACCCCCTGGCTGTGGGGCCAGTGGATGGGCTCTGGGCCAGGAAGGCTGTGCTCCAGATTGGAGCAAAAAGGAGGGCCACGAGCCCCAAGACTAAAGAGCTAGAACCTCAGAGTCAAAGTCTATCTGGTGGGTTTAGACAGGAAGGCTTAGCTAGAGAAAGACTGGGGTCAAGGCCAGTGGTCAAGGCCAGTGGTGGCAGAGGATCCCAGCATACAAAAATAATAGACAGTCTCCCACTTACAAAAACATAAGTATAAAATTTCCATCAAGACGTGGCAGGAGAGTAGATAGTGGGGCACAAGAAACCTTAAAGGGAACTCCAAGGGTGCCCCACTTAGGGCACGGATAACAAGGAAGATGGCGCTGGGGAGGGTGACCTGTTACAGCTCCCCTATTGAATCCTACACCATAATTCATCATGGAATCCCCAACCAATATAGTCCCCCACCTCTCTCCCTAGATCCATTTGTAAAAAGGCAGAACATTTTCCTACAGGCACTGAAACACTGTTAGCCAAATTTAAAAGCCATGCTCCATAACTCTTCAAATACCCCTTCTGAATGAAGATGACAAAGAAGTGCCTCCATCTGTAGGCCTTGCTGGGGCACTGATTAATGTATGCTGTTCACTCAAAAGCTTTGCTAAATCATTGGCCAAAGTAGGCCTCACCAGCAAACCTGACCAATGCATGAACGAACACCTCACAGAAACAAAAGTTGGCATGTGAGCCAGATGCGCATTCCTACCAAGAGATGGGAGGGAGAGATGATGGTACAAGGTAGGTTAGTCCAGTAGGATGATACAGCTGGAGTGAGAACACCCAGGTCAGAATGTGAAACAAGCTCATGGTAGAAGACAACTTGAGATGTTCAAGATACAGATGGAAAGCAATACATAATTTGTTTGGATCATTGTATAAAAAAACTAATTGAAAAGCAGGGAAATTTTGTAGTGGCCTGCAGAAGCCTGCATGGTGGCGTGCCAACTACCTTGTCACAGGTACAAATGCCTTAACTCCTGGTCTGATGTGCTTGTTAGGCTAGAATGTGCTAGGGCTGAGCTTGTAAACAAGAAACCTGGGTGAATCTTTGCTACTGAGCCAGGCCTGCAGTCATTCTTCAAGACAAGATTGGTGTTGGATTCTCCTGGCTGCAACTTGTCAACACCGCAGTTCCTGAGACTTCAGCACTGACAACGCATCAGTAACACCCAGGGAGGACAACAGCAATGATGACACTGTAACCCCAGACAACACCATCTATTATACAAGCTGAGGTTTCACTGAACTTGCAGCCTTTTTATGAAACTGCAAAAGGCCCAGTGCTTCCACCTTTACTACAGTATTATTTACTGAGTGGAACTGTTAAAGATACAGAGGAGTTGAGCTCTGCCTAGCCATCATAAGACTGGCACAATTGATTCCAGATTTGTATTTAAATATTTCAAAAGCCCCTTTAAACTTTATCTTCACTGATTCCTCATTTCATTCCCACTGGGAGATTGAACCTTCTTTTGAAATTAGTCTATGTACCTTTTAGAACAGAACAGCATTGGGAGTTTGATTCTGCTCCTAGTTCCTGTCGCCAGGGGAGGAATAGCATAAGGGAATACGCTGGGCCTGATCCTGACGTGAAGCGGCATAATCACGTTGCACCCAGTGAACACTATATCCATATCCAGACAAACTGCTATAAATGAAAGATCAGCGGAGCAGAAATGAGTGCCCAGAACCATAGCACATAAGGAGTTCCACAAAGCACTACAACAGGCTGGATTTCGATAACGGGCTCCGCAATGATCAGTTCTCTGCAAGCCAATTTCTCTCACAGGGGAAAAAGTATTAGACTAGTCAGGCTGTCTTTTGTGATGCCTGTCGGTTTAAATTGCATGACCTTTTAACTAGCTCTAAACCTCACCTGTCCAAGTCAATTTATTCATATGTCTATATAAAGCTTTGCATTTCCAGGGTTCTTTCACTGAGGAAACTAATAGAGAAAAGTTGGCAGAATATGCTAAGAGTAAGTAAACGTACAGGAGAAATACATCTGGCTGCGCATGGATTTTCCCATATTGTTCAATTGTATCATTTCTTTTGTTGCCTTTTGCTGAAAAAGTTCCTGCCTACAGCACCCCTTTATCTTTTTTATCTCTGCATTTGACTGGTTCTAGCAAGCTGAGATCTGTGGAACGTAATTAAATTAAATCTTTTTTCCTAATTGGATTGAGTCTGTGCAGTCATTGTCCATTTCCTTCAGGCTTTACAGAGTAGCGCCAACTATTTCCTATTGGATTTTGAGTTTATTTGTTTTAGTTGCAATAACAAAATGTTGTGTTTTACCTTGCCTTTTAGTGAGCTCCTGTTTGTTTTCCCTCAGTGCTCAGAGAGACTCCGTATTTCTCACAGGCAACATTTTGAGCAGGGAAGTTCCCTCTGGGTATGTTTTGTAGTTTGCATACAATGGCCTTCTTGTCCAATTTCAGTTATTACAACCATATTTTGTCCGTCTTGAAAACTCACCTTGACCCCAGCCAGCAACCCAGAAAACAGTTTCTGCGGTTCCCCTGCCTTCTCAGAAAGAGCAAAGTACTTTGCTCTTTCTCCTTGAAAGGTAAGTGTTGGCTTTTTTTTTTACAGGAAATGCCTTCCTTTCCTCTCCCTCTATTCCACCCCACTCCCAGTGCTTATCTCCCAAGGAACAGCAAATTTATGAGAGAGAGATAAAAACGATGAGCGTGAAACGTGGGTAAACACACACAGAGCTCAGAATTATGGGGCTAACAATATCACCAGGTTGCGAGAGCCCTCTAGTACCCAGCTTTTTTTCCCAACCAGCCCTTTTCATACTGATGTCTGACACGCTGTCTTTGCACTGTCATGAAGAAAGCAATGACCACTATGCCACCGTACACAGAGAATCCACAGAGGCATTTGCAGGCATCCATGTCTGAGATGGAGGAGGATTTTGCCCTTATGATCAGTTTGCCCAAGTTTAATAGCATCTGTTTAAAGAGCCCCATATGGCATGCTGAATATGCTTTGCAGGTTTCCATTGAATTAATAGCTCTTTAATTATTCAGAGCAATATTTAAAGGGTGCAGTAAATAACGATCAGACAATTGCATTCATTTTTAATAGGACTAGCCACCAAATTGGTTCTTTCCTCCCCACAGAACATTTAAGGGGTTTGGCAAGAAAATAAAAGTATTACTAAAAATTATCCAACCGAAACCTGAACATGTCAATTCAGGGTCACCTGGAAGTGGTAGTTGTGATTGCCTCATGGCCCACCCTTCTCTGTGGAGCTGCTTCTCTGATTATCCCTATTCATTTTTGTCAAATAAAAGTTAAAAGGTAATGGGGAAAGCAGACTGCTTTTGAGGGAAAAACCTGAACATCTACTTTGAAAACCCAGTTTGCCACAGAGAAACAGTTTCAATCAAGGTTTTTTAACCAGTCCTTTCTCACGTGTCAATGGAAGTGAATGCCAGCCCCATTCCTAGCATTTCTGCAATTCTCAAGACAAAAATGATTCATTTCTTTGAGGGATAAGAGGCTAGAGAACGAATCACCTAAGTTATTGCAGAAAAATTAAATCAAGTGCTGTTTCCTACTGCATCATGTCACTGCACTGAAGTCTTTGGGGTTACACAGGTATAAACAGGAGCAGAATTTCAGTGATATTTGTGCATCTGCATAGATTAATTATACTTCTTGCAGTTATGTAATGAGGTCATTGACCTGGTGGTTAGGGATGATTTGAGAATATCATTACCGAGGATCCAGGCCATGAAATGCTGATCCAAATTTAAAGTTCTTTGAGTTTCAGGCTTTTCACACAAAGGCCATTCATTTGCCCTGTGACATGAGGTATAACAGCTGGGTGCTACAACCGTAAGTGTAGTTTACACTAATATTTTCCATTTAACTACTCTTTTTAAAAAATCTTGCTAATGCAGATTAAGGGCTCTGTGGCTATCGGCCCTGGTGCAATCACTGAGAGAAACTTCGTGGTAAAGCTGGGAAGGCAAAAAAGCACCACCCAGCTGAAAACACTACATTGTCCATTGTGAGTCAGCACTCCAGCCTCCACTATTCTGAATACAGTGTTCACAAAATGCTCAAAATATAGACAACACTAGAAGCGAAATATCCAGTCAAAGCGATCCATCAGGAGCAGACATGCAAAGTCACTCCCAGTGACTAGTCTGTACATGGGTCCCATGCTTAGCTAGGAAAAGTTACACACAAACAATAGTTTCTAGAGTGAACTAAACTGTTCTGTCTCAACAATGTATCTTATCTTCATACCAAGGTTTGGTTTGAGTTTTCTGAAGTCTTCATGTGATAAATGATCAGCTTCTAAATCTTGAAGTTTTCTTTGCAAACAAGGGATGGGCTCAGTAGTTCAAAGAAATATGCACAGAAATATGCCAGATGAAGACAGTAATATTTCAACTGAAGAGGAACCTCTTTTCCAACACAGACCTAATGGTGAAAACAGAATCAATGTTAGTAATGCCCCCTAAAATCATTGACTTGTCTTTGTCTGGGAGCAGGGGCCTAGCAATATAAATCTCCTCAGAACATAACCTGAGTCTTAAGAGTCCTTGTTTCATAATTTATCACATTACATTTTGATTTGTATGAACTGTACATCTGGGTATCATTGGAAGAGTTGAAGTTAAAAGCTGTAATGGAATGCAGCACTTGTGTCTCCACTCCATAAAAGATCACTTTCATAGCAGCTCAGCCAAGTGAGTAAGAAAAGGTCTAGTGTAATTGTCAGTAAGGCCTCTGATTTGACTGCGCCTTACGTTTCCTTTTAAAGATTTTCATTAACAGCATAATGTCTGTTTAGTAGCAACCTCCAGCAAAACTGCCATTTTTCTCATATTTGTGGCTTTCTAGTGCCAAATTATAGAATTAAATGGCTCAAGAATTGTAGGTTGTTGGTTTGTTTGTGGCTCAGACCTTTACTTCTCATACTTTTACTAATATACTTTGGTTCTTGATGTTTATCTCATTAGCTATAGAAGAAAACACAAAGTTGTTGATTTAGAATTAATTGCAAACAGTAAATAATACTACGTTGTAATTTGTCAAATTAATTCACCAAGGCACCAGCATTCGTTTCATGCTTCTGTACTGCCTAATGCATCATATACTAAGGAAGAGTGGTGAACCACCCTAAGCATTTTTCCCCACATATTCTTTTTTTGGATATCAGATCTAAAACAAGTATGTAGCTGGAATGGTCTTTTATGGCCTGAGATAAGAATTATTGGTGCAGAGACTTATAGTTGCTGGCCTAACTTCCAAGCACAGACCTATAGGGAGGGACAAACAGCACTATGGACACTGCCCCAGGCAGTCAGCAAATCACTATGGAAGTGCCAATGTCCCAGTAGAAAGGTTACACATAATTAGGAGAACATAGTTTGCATTTCTATAGCTGTAGGAATACAGTTGCAAAAGTTTAAGAAAAGCCAGGATTTTGGAGCACATGAATATCTGACAGTTCACAAAAGGCACTGAAGCATGGTACAGTACATTTACCTGAGTTTCAAACACAGAGCAAGTTAAACATCTGAAGCTTTGCTTTCTACTGCTAACCTAGGATCATTTGAGTGACTAAGGGAGAGTAATTTTTCTCTTTTAGGTGGATATGAGGAATTCTAATATGCTTAACAACTATTATAACTTTATGTTAAGGAATAAAGAGCTAAAGTCTGGGAGATCTCTCCTTGTAACGTGTGATGGATGATTAAGAGACACTGAAAACTTCAGTGTCTAAATGGAATTTCTCTCTGCAAGACTTCATTACAAAATGAATGTACTGCTTTAATGATAATGAGATGATATTATTTATACAGACAGTTCCAGCAGTTCCCAAAGAGGAGTAAATGTTGTACTCGTACTCATAAAGGCCTGCCTGCTCATTATTTGGCATTAATTTTATTACAGAATAATTACCAAAGGAATATTTGGATTTACTGTTAGTAAGGGTATTTGTAAATGAATTATGAATCTAATACAACAAACGTTCTGCTCCCAATATGAACTCAAAATAGTGTAGATTACTTTTTCCTTGTAGTGCTGTTTCTGATTTTGAAAGCCTCATAATGTATTGCATTCAAGAATTAGAAGAGAACAAATATTTACACAATTTCCTTTGTGCATATAGACAAAAAGACTAAGAATTAGGCATATATTCTTAAGGATGGTAATGTAGCAAGTGCCCATATAGCCTGAATATTGACTTAGGCAGTTCATAATACTAAATATAGGTCTGTCTGAGTAATTGCTAGTGAATAATTTATTTAACTTGTGCAGCCTCTTTATCTGTTCATGAATCACCCACAAATGGCAGATTATTCATTATTCTAAATTGGTGATTCTCAAACTGCGGTCCATTGACCACATGAAAAGCTGGCTGGTCACATGGTGCTGACCCTCATCTTGGTTTTCAGCTGCTTCTACAGGTCCCCATTGTCAAGGGGACACACCTCAAGCCCGGTCTTTATACTGGCTCATCCCCTTGTCCATGGGCAAACCACCCGCTTCATTCTTCTGCCACACCTTGTTGTTAATTAATCCTAGTGTTAATAGGTGGGAAGCTGCCCTTCAAGCACCCAGCTATAAGATGTGCAGTACATACATGCTCTGACTTCCCCTTACACACCTCGTAGATGGCATCTTAATCAGCCTCTTACTCTACACGTGCCGGTATCCTCAGCTGTGTAGTACACGACCTCCCACGAAGGCCCTACTCGCCCTGGTATCCTCAGGTGCACACCACATGACCTCCCAAGACGACTCTGCTTGCCCCAGTATCCTTAGCATACAGTGCACTGCTTCCTGTGAAGGCTTGGCTCTCCCATCAGTATCTTTAGTTGCGCATCACATGCCCACCCATGAAGGCTCAACTCTGCCTTTGGTATCCTTAGTCACACAACACATGCCCTCACTCAAAGCTCGATTCTGTCTTCAGCTGTTACCCCACATATGCCCCCTCTTTGGGACTACCTTTCACTTGGGCCCTGATATACTGCCCTTGCTAGGGTTCTCACCAACACATTCACTCTTGTGCAGCCCTTCAAGTTGCCCCCTGCAACCGCACTCTGCACCTGGTCTCCACACTAAAATAAACACTCTGCCCTCTTCCTAGGGCCTGGGGTCGACCACCCCTGCAGGCTCAGGTGCCCGTCCTCAGCATACCTGGCTACCACTCTGCTAATGAACCCACTGGATGGTGGAGGCTGGGGTTAAGGCACCACTACCTGCCTTTCACCAGGGAGGTATCAGGCCTGGCATTTCTTGGGGACTCCCTTGCCACAAGGAGTCCCACCAGGCCACCCTTCCCCAGCAGGGTGCAGTACCAGGTCATGCCCAGGACAATGGGGCCTCCTCCTTCCTCATAGCCCCATCCTTACCTCCAAGATGTTTCTGGGGCAGTGGCTCAGCCCAGTGTTGCTTCCATGGCTGCTACCCACAAACTGCCCCCTCTACCCTGAGGACTGGGCTCTAAAATAGCCACCATCAACCACCTGCTGGCACTCTGTTCCAGCCATTAAAGTGACAGAGCACTGAAGCTGATCCATCACACCCAGGAACAAAAAGCTGATGTGTGGAAGATAAGAACCAGTGTCTGGGCAACTTTTCCAGGGAAGAAGGAGACTTTGCCCAAGAAAAGCACAGAACAGGAGGGTCAATGGGGAAAGAAAGAGAAATACCAAAGACTGGAGAAGAAAGTTTTAAAGAAAGCAAGGTTCATACCACTGGGCTTCAAAAATTTAGCCAAAGTAAAATGTAGTAGGCCAAATTGTCAGCTGGCATAAATTGGGCCAGCTTTATTGTCATTATTAGTAGTAGTAGTAATAGTAGTAGTAGTATTTTAGAGCTCAGGCAGCAACTGAGGGCTTGATGCAGGAGTTACTGGATGAGGTTCAATAGTCTGTATTATGCAGGAGGTTAGACTTCAGTGATCATAATTGTTCTTCTGGCCTTAAAACCTATAAAAGGCTACTTTATGAGCTGAATCATTTATCAGTGCACAAGCACTGCAGGACTGGGACCACCCTGATAGACTTAATTTATCTCCATTTATAGCTAAACTCAATTTGGAACATTTTGAAAACCTTGCTGATACAAAGCAGTAAATCAAGACATTTCTAAACATATTAAAGGATGCATGCAAGAAAAGAATTAATGCCTTATCTTTCCAATCGGAGGGTCGACACCCTGTGGTGTGGAGGCAATATCAGAAAGGTCTACCACTGCTCTCCATTCTGCCACAGATAATAAGGAACATTAACACATATGCCAGAACGAAGACTCTTGCTCAGGGCTTTCTGGATATGGCATTCTTCACTGCTAATGCCTCACAAATGAAACACCTTCTGCAACAAGGAACTGATGCACGGTTTTATTACTTTCTTTTTGTCCTTCTGGTAAGTTGTGTTTAACACTGACTGTTTCTGAAAACAAGGCATACTTTCAATCTGTTATAGAGCCCTTCAGCTGCTAGGACCTTTGCTGCTTTTTGGAATGATGGAAGTGAATTTCACTGAAAAAATTAGGAAAGGTGTTAGACCTGTGTCCAAAGGAAGTGGGAATACATTTCTGGGAGAAGAGCATGTTGGCTGAGTAGTCATAAGGGCACAGTTCTAAGAGCCTAGAAAAAGGGCTGTGGTGATCTTTGCTGTTTTTCTTTGTTATTTAAGCCCTGTAAAGGGACAAGTTGAACTTTGCCTCCCATTTGGATTGTGTGCAAGCAGGATGTTGGAAAAGGCCCTTATTTAGATGCAATCCCATTTAGAAGACCAAATCCTTCTTACTCACAATTCAAAGGTTCATCATTTTATTGGTAGGGTGGGAGGAATACAACTGAAGAATTTTGCAGGGGTTGTGGTTTAACTTTTTTTTTTTTTGTAAATAATGTTCTCATGTGTAAAACATGTATGAATACTGATCAACCTCTTAGCTGCAAAGGGGAGCAGGCCCATACATTTGTTGACCACAACCCCTGGTGTAAGTAAAAAGTGCTTTTGAAAACACTGTCTCTGGTGGTATCATAGAAATTATAGAAAAGTAGGGCTGGGAGGGCTTAGGAAGTCATCTTGCCCAACCGCCTCTTCAAGGCAGGATCATCCCTATCTATATCATCCCAGGCAAATATTAGTCTAATCTCCACTTAATAAATTCCACTGGTGAAAATTCCACAACCTCTGTGTCTTCCAGTGCTTCACCACCTTCATAGACAGAAAGGTCTTCCTGCAAGCTAACTTAAATCTCCTTTGTTGCAATTTAATCCCATTGCTTCTTGTGCTATCTGTTGTAGACATAGGGCACATCTGCATGAGATGTTTACTGGAGAACTGCCTAATTATCTCCACAGTAAAGTCTCAACATATACACGTGTGGCCCCATTAGGCCACAGGAAACTATTAACTCCACTGCAGGTTAGTACTTGTAAATACAAGTATTATCCTGTGGCAGCGTGCTGTAGTGCACAGCAACACAAGTGGAGATGCTAATGGGGCTGGCTGGGGCACAAGGGTGCTTCAGTGTGGGGGCTGCCTGCCAGCTAGCCCCACACTAGAGCACCCTCATACCCCAGTCAGTCCCTATACAACACCTTGAGTCAGGTTGGAGAAGCCCTGGACTGCCAGACTGACCCCAGGCCCCCCCTGCCAACCAGGGCTGCTCCAGCCTGGCTCAAGGTGCTACATTGAGCCAGACCTGGGCATATGTGAAGATGCGGCACCTGGGAGCAATAAACTCTGGCAGAGTAACCGATGGAGTTTATTGCTTCATATTAATTTCACATGTAGACATGCTCATAGAGAACAATTGATCACCATTCTATAACAAACTTTTATGTATTTGAAGACTGTTAACAAATCCCCCCAGTATTCCCTTTTCCAGACTAAATAATCCCAATTTTTCCAACCTTTCATCATACACCATGTTTTCTAGACCTCCTGTCTTTCTCTTTCTCTTCTCTGTCCAGTATATCTACTTCTTTCTTAAAGTGTAGTACCTAAAACTAAGCCCTCTCCAGTGCTGAGTAGCATGAAAGAATTATTTTCAATGGCTTGCATACAATACTCTTATTTAAACAGCCCAGTATGCTACTTTTTTTTCCAACAATATTATACTGTTGATTCATATTCATCTTGTAGTCCACTATATCCCCTGGGTCCTTTTTACAGTACTGCAGCCTGGCAGACCAGCAACTTGTTCTTTCTTCATTCCATTTGTTTCCCACACACACAGAAGAAAAGACTTACTTAGTGTGCTCAGCCAAGACATGCTCTTTCATACTGACATTAATACCACCTTATGTCTATTGGAAATGCCTTGTCTGTTAACTTCTAAGACTGCATTTAGTTTTTTCATAGCTGCATCACATGTGTGGCTCATAGTCATCCTGTGATCAAACTAATGCACCCTAGTCATTCCTCTTCTCCTCCTCCTCCTCTGTCATTTCCAATTGTTGAGCACATGGGCTAGTTGTTAGTCCCTGAGTGGATGATGTTGCCCCTTCTGCTATTAAATTTTATCCCATGTCTATAATTCCAGCCTGCAAGGCTTTCCAGTTCTTTGTGGATTCTATTCTGATCCTTTCTATATTGACACTGCCTCAGGACATTGTCATCAGCCAATTCCTTAAGTACAGTCCTACTTTTGTGCCAAGTTATTAATGAAAATATTCAATAATTTTGATCCCAAGACTCATCCTCCAGGAACTCCACAAATAACCTCCAGTAAATAGTTCCCCCTTCAATATGACCTTCTGTTGTCTCCCTTATAATCAGTTACTTATAGTTTTTTGTGCTAATTCCCCTCTTCTCCAGCTTGATTAGTAAGCAACAGATCAAATGCTTAACTGAGGTCTGGATGCATTAGGTCTACTGCATTTATCTTGCCCAGAAAAAGAGTTTTCTTATAAACACGAGGTTACTGGGTTAGTGCATTTTATCCCATTTTCCACTTACCTCTGTCTTTGATTACGATTTCCTTCAAAATTTGTTCTGAAGCCTTGCGTACTATTGAGGTCACAGTGACAGCTGCCCAGAACACTTTCCTCCCCTTCTTTCTTCATATACATGCTGTATGTGCTAGTCCCAGTCATACAGCATGACCCACAACCTGATAGCTTTATTACAGTTCCTTCCATTTAGATTACAGACTGCCAGTTCTGTCCACCTTATTTGATCACATTAAGCTCTTTAAGTATTCCTCCTTGTTTGGATACATTTTCCATTTCCATGCACTCATCCTGCTGTTAAGACATCCTGCCTATATCACTTTCCAATTGCTGTTCTTCTTCTTCTTCCAGTGAGTGTGTGGCATATGGAGAAATATCAGGACTTTCAGTTAATCAAATATGAGTGCCAGAGAACCATGTTCCCTGCCATATTCCTCCAGTAAGAAGATGGAGAAATGGTACTTTCCCACATACATACTTTAAGAATAATATTGAGGACCAGATCCTAATTAAAATGTGCTCCTCACCTCAGAGTAGATCTTGTGTAGAAGGAGAACTTCTCCTGAAGTAGTAGCTGCATAAATAAATAAAACTTCTCTTTTCAGTTTTGTATATAGTAGTGCTTTTTCCTGTAAGAACCTAATCTAGCATATTAAATTAAGTCAAATAATCCTCTTGTCAGTATAAAAATAATTAGCACAATTTTTTAAAAGACCACATTACAGAAAAGAATTGTTTTTAGAAAACCAAAGGAAAAAGAAAAGAAAAAAGCAAAAACAAAAAAAGCCAAAGCTTTCCCTTTCCAGTATTATTTTAATGAGCTGAATTGTAATGGGTTTAAAATTGCAATTAAAAGACAAAAGCACAGAAATGCCCCATTTTAATTTTAAGCCATATCTACTACTATTAATGCTGCTAATAGCCTCCACAGCCATTAGTATTAAGTGGCCTAAAAAGCAGACAAAACTCGATGCTTAAACCAAACCATACACAAAGATAGATAGATAGATAGATAGATAGATAGATAGATAGATAGATAGATAGATAGATAGATAGAAAGTAATAAACCCCCTTCCTCGCAGCGTGTCAGATATGCATACCCATCTCCTCTGGGTTCAGCCTCTCTGTCTGAGGCTGTCTCCTCAGGTGTGTTTGCAGGACCTGGCCCCACAGACCATCTCCACAGCTGATCTATCCAGCGGCAACGTCTCTTAGCTCACTAAGTGCAGACACTGACCCAGTGGAAACTGGAATGTGACTAAGTATCCCTGCATATCTAGCAATAGAGCTTCTATCATTATGAATCAGTCAGATAGTTTTCTCTTTAGGAAACAGTCATGTATATTCCTGTACTCTCTCTCAGAAAAACAAAAATCCAAGCACATTTTAAAGTCAGTCATGGGAACCTTACAAAATAAAAGCAAAGCAACATGAATGAGCAAATGAGAAATGAGCAAAACATACAAGAGGGGAGCTTTTATAGCCTCCTGAGGGTCAAAATACACGTTGTTTAATGCACCTTTTCTACACTGAGGACTTTAGCCATCAGTGTAGCTGCATCAGTATCAATCCTTAAATGAGACAGAGCAAGCTGACACAAGCCAAGATTGGCCCCAGGTCCACTTGCTCCTGCTATAGAGAAGGGTGATTCTCAGGTAAGCTAAAACCTGAAGATTTGCTTGAGTAAGAGTAGGAGGATTTGGCCCAATGCTTATAATACCCATTTAGAAGCTTACACCTTTGTTTTTTCTTATGTAAATCACCTTCTTTTGCATGCTGTCACTAATCATTTATGCTATAATAACACCCAAGAGTTATATTACTGTGGGTTGGGGCCCATTGCATAAATACTCCATGCCTTCTCGCCTTTTAAAAGGTCATGAAAAGAATCAGGATGTCTTTAACAAATATTCATTGCATACGTTGCTTTACCCTGTCAAAGTATAGTAGAGTATCCCTCAGCAATAGCTAATGATGTCTTCAACAATGTCAGCACGCTGCAGGATTAAAGTTTCTTTGGTTGGTTGTTTACAGCAGCTGCTGCAGAGACAGAGGAGTGAACATAAAACACTGATTCTGTTCCTAAAAAGAGAGCAAATTTCTTTTGTAATTCTTTGATGTAGTACATTGTAACAAAAACAAACCACACAGAGCACATTCCTCCCACCGAGGCGCAAGGGGAGTTACAGCTGAGAAACACCTGCAGGATTTGCTCCATGCTTTTAAACTGTTTTAAGGCAATACAAAGTTTTCTGGAAGCCCAGATTGGTTAAATTTTGGATGTAAAAACTTAAGCACAAACTTTCAGTGTGAAATCAATACTCAGAGTTACCTGTGAGCTGTTCCTGGGCTTGATCCTGAAGATTATTAAAGTTAGGGATGATTGCCAGATTTGGCGGGAGAGGTCTAGAAATGACAACATGGCAAATCTTCCACCATCCTTCACTGACC